GGTGTGATCTGAGGTGCAGAGTGCATGCATTGGGTGTGATCTGAGGTGCAGAGTGCATGCATTGGGTGTGATCTGAGGTGCAGAGTGCATGCATTGGGTGTGATCTGAGGTGCAGAGTGCATGCATTGGGTGTGATCTGAGGTGCAGAGTGCATGCATTGGGTGTGATCTGAGGTGCAGAGTGCATGCATTGGGTGTGATCTGAGGTGCAGAGTGCATGCATTGGGTGTGATCTGAGGTGCAGAGTGCATGCATTGGGTGTGATCTGAGGTGCAGAGTGCATGCATTGGGTGTGATCTGAGGTGCAGAGTGCATGCATTGGGTGTGATCTGAGGTGCAGAGTGCATGCATTGGGTGTGATCTGAGGTGCAGAGTGCATGCATTGGGTGTGATCTGAGGTGCAGAGTGCATGCATTGGGTGTGATCTGAGGTGCAGAGTGCATGCATTGGGTGTGATCTGAGGTGCAGAGTGCATGCATTGGGTGTGATCTGAGGTGCAGAGTGCATGCATTGGGTGTGATCTGAGGTGCAGAGTGCATGCATTGGGTGTGATCTGAGGTGCAGAGTGCATGCATTGGGTGTGATCTGAGGTGCAGAGTGCATGCATTGGGGGTGATCTGAGGTGCAGAGTGCATGCATTGGGTGTGATCTGAGGTGCAGAGTGCATGCATTGGGTGTGATCTGAGGTGCAGAGTGCATGCATTGGGTGTGATCTGAGGTGCAGAGTGCATGCATTGGGTGTGATCTGAGGTGCAGAGTGCATGCATTGGGTGTGATCTGAGGTGCAGAGTGCATGCATTGGGTGTGATCTGAGGTGCAGAGTGCATGCATTGGGTGTGATCTGAGGTGCAGAGTGCATGCATTGGGTGTGATCTGAGGTGCAGAGTGCATGCATTGGGTGTGATCTGAGGTGCAGAGTGCATGCATTGGGTGTGATCTGAGGTGCAGAGTGCATGCATTGGGTGTGATCTGAGGTGCAGAGTGCATGCATTGGGGGTGATCTGAGGTGCAGAGTGCATGCATTGGGTGTGATCTGAGGTGCAGAGTGCATGCATTGGGTGTGATCTGAGGTGCAGAGTGCATGCATTGGGTGTGATCTGAGGTGCAGAGTGCATGCATTGGGTGTGATCTGAGGTGCAGAGTGCATGCATTGGGTGTGATCTGAGGTGCAGAGTGCATGCATTGGGGGTGATCTGAGGTGCAGAGTGCATGCATTGGGGGTGATCTGAGGTGCAGAGTGCATGCATTGGGGGTGATCTGAGGTGCAGAGTGCATGCATTGGGTGTGATCTGAGGTGCAGAGTGCATGCATTGGGTGTGATCTGAGGTGCAGAGTGCATGCATTGGGTGTGATCTGAGGTGCAGAGTGCATGCATTGGGTGTGATCTGAGGTGCAGAGTGCATGCATTGGGGGTGATCTGAGGTGCAGAGTGCATGCATTGGGGGTGATCTGAGGTGCAGAGTGCATGCATTGGGTGTGATCTGAGGTGCAGAGTGCATGCATTGGGTGTGATCTGAGGTGCAGAGTGCATGCATTGGGTGTGATCTGAGGTGCAGAGTGCATGCATTGGGTGTGATCTGAGGTGCAGAGTGCATGCATTGGGGGTGATCTGAGGTGCAGAGTGCATGCATTGGGTGTGATCTGAGGTGCAGAGTGCATGCATTGGGTGTGATCTGAGGTGCAGAGTGCATGCATTGGGTGTGATCTGAGGTGCAGAGTGCATGCATTGGGTGTGATCTGAGGTGCAGAGTGCATGCATTGGGTGTGATCTGAGGTGCAGAGTGCATGCATTGGGTGTGATCTGAGGTGCAGAGTGCATGCATTGGGTGTGATCTGAGGTGCAGAGTGCATGCATTGGGTGTGATCTGAGGTGCAGAGTGCATGCATTGGGTGTGATCTGAGGTGCAGAGTGCATGCATTGGGTGTGATCTGAGGTGCAGAGTGCATGCATTGGGTGTGATCTGAGGTGCAGAGTGCATGCATTGGGTGTGATCTGAGGTGCAGAGTGCATGCATTGGGTGTGATCTGAGGTGCAGAGTGCATGCATTGGGGGTGATCTGAGGTGCAGAGTGCATGCATTGGGTGTGATCTGAGGTGCAGAGTGCATGCATTGGGTGTGATCTGAGGTGCAGAGTGCATGCATTGGGGGTGATTTGAGCTGCAGAGTGCATGCATTGGGGGTGATATGAGGTGCTAATTGCAACTCATTCTTCATTATTATTACTAGGAGTGAAAATAATCGATATGACTGCAACACGCCGTCACGCCGACTATCTAATGCTTGTGATAATATTTAACCACGCCCAATATTCAGCACAACGTAGCCATGCTCAATTTCCACCCCAAGGTCCCCCTCTTCTCCAACTGCCAAGGTTGGGAGATGTGCACACGAAGGGGCTCTGCGGCAGCAGTTTTCTATCTGCGACAAGAAACATTTCCAGGACTGAAGCCGAGCTTGCTGTGCACTAATGTCACCACAAGGTGGCAGTGTTGTAGCATGTATAGACGGTCCCGCGTTACGAACAAGATAGGGACTATAGGTTTGAATTTCTATGTAAGTTGGAGCAGGAACACTCATTTTTTAAGTGCAACTCCAGCCCCAAATTTTTTCTCTCTAGTTTTGGATAGCATAGGGAAGGGTTACCCCCCTGTAAAGTTTGTTTTGCTGTCTGTGTCCCTGTTCAGGAGATTTCCCCCCATTTTCTGTTCCTGTGACAATTGGATTTTGAAAATTTTGGGTTGCCGTGGAAACGAGGATTGGTGATAAAGCTTCAGTGGAGACAACTTCTTCCCATGATCACTCTTACAGGAGTGAATTTCCCTTCCTAGGCGTAGATTTCCTCTCACTTCCTGTTGTCTCAAGGACAGGAAGTGAGATTAAATCTTTCTAACGAGGATGCAGACAGCAGCAAAAACCTCCCAGCGACCCGGAAGAAGAGGCGGGCACCCCTCGCCTGCACGTCTAACAAGAGCCTACTTCCTGTGATGTACGTAAAGTACCACGAACCAGACCCATATTATTATTTCTTATTACATTCATTTATTGTTATATGTATTTATCATTACATATTCATAATTACATTTATTTATGAATACATTTTTTTTAAAGTTTATTCATTTTTACATTTCTTTCTTATAACATTTATTTATTGTTACATATTAATTATTACATTTATTTTTTTACGTTTATTTTTACATTTATTACTATATTTATTTTTTACATTTATTTATTATTACAACAGTTTATTCTAACATTTATTTATTGAAAAGCAAAATACTTTTGTTGTTTATTTTTTACTTTTAACTATTTC